AGAGCGGTTAACAGGAGGCTGACCTGGTTCCTTGAGACCAACAATATTCTTTGGATGAAAGAAATACCCTTACGGCTGTTTTCGTCGATTTCAAATCAGCCGAATTGGTGCAGACAGTCACGGGCATCAGGTGCTTACTTTATGCATATGATCTTGTTCTATGGTATTCCGCCGCTTCGAAAAATGCCCATCACAGCATAAACCGCTTCTGAGGTACAAGGATACTAACCTAGAAAAAATCAATGAGTTCACTTTTCTTGGAACGATGTTTGACACAAAGCTAACGTGGAAAAGACACATTGCTAAAATAGAAGAACGAGTCTCCAATAGACTGAATGAACTGAAGCGTCTTGCTGGTTGCGTATGGGGCTGTGCGCGCTCAACTCTCAACACCACTTACAAGATGTTTATTCAGCCAATAATGTTGTATTGCTGTGAGCCACTCATTGCAGCCACAGAGGTGACTCTCAAACCACTCGAGAAGGCACAAAACCAAGCATTACAACTAATTACTGGAGGGATGAAATCAACACCCATTGATGCAATGCTCCTGGTTACAGGGAGCACCACAATATGTTCCCTTATCAAAGAAAAGGCCTTGATCCTGTATGAGAAGCTACTGCGCATTCCCATGAATAAGTTCTTTAGCCCCTATGAGAATAGACCAAGACATCTGAAAACGCAATCTGGTCTAATACAGAAAGCCATAGAATTGAAGATAGCATTACAAATCGATGACAAACCAAAAAGCCTCTCTCTCCCCATGAACCCATTAGCAGACACTGATGTAGTGTGTTGCACCCAACTGCTTGACTCCTTCAGGAGACCAAAACCTCCTCCAGAGCAAATGCGCTCACTGGCCCTTGAGACAATCAATGTCAATTATCCTGGAGATCAATGGCTCCAAGTCTTCACTGATGGGTCATACATAGAAAACCAAGCAAACATTGGTGCAGGTGTCCATTCTGAACTCTTCTCTTTCTACGCAGCAGCGGGATACAATAGATCTGCTTTTGAAGGAGAAATAGAGGTTATTAGGATAGCACTATGGCAATTATGTTGCCTGGATACGAAATTCACCAAAGCGGTGATACTTTCGGACTCACAGTCAGCAATAAACTCTATTGGAAGCAGAGAGCCACTTAAAACAGCTGAGATAAACAAATGTAGAAAACTCTATAAGCTGCTGAGAGTAAAAAACAAAAGAGTGGTCCTTCAATGGATTCTTGGTCACTGTGGCACTAAAGGCAATGAGCTTGCTGACACACTTGTTAAGAAGGGGACAACGATTTTGCAAGACGTAGACCGACCCATGTCATTCCACACAATGAAGGCCTTAATCAGAAGAGAATTCCGAACCTCAAGGTGCAACAAACTTAAAGCTTGAACAAAGGAGAAACAGCGGACAGTGGCATTCTCCGATATAGCCGACTGGCCAAGAATCGAAGCCGTTGCTGAGTTTAGACTACGTACCGGACACGATTGCTTGACAAAACATCTTCACAGATTGGGAGTATACACTTAACCCACATGCCCTCTATGTAACCTAAAGGATTAAATGGAGAAGACCCACTTGATTCGGTATCCAGCTCTAAAGACAACGACTGAAACCCAGAGATACTGGGAAGTAAGAAGACAGCTAATGAACTGGTATTAATTAACTGCTATAAATGTCCCCCCCCCTTGGGGGAAGCTGAAGTCAAAGTTTAAGGGCTCATGATAAATATCACAAAGTCTGCCATTTGAAATAATAATAATAATAATAATAATAATAATAATAATGTTCCTCCTTCTCTCTGTAAAGCCCGAAGTCGGTTAAAGGGCCAATGATTACTATCAAAACGCCTGCCATTTGAGATAAAAAAATAAATATTTTACGCTTTCTATGTGTTTTGGATTTTATCTTATTCAAATAGGAGAATGAAATAAAAAAATATACTCAAATCCTCTAAATTTACATAAATTTCTAAAATTTTAAAAAATGACTTCATATAGCCCTTTTTGGCGAGTTTGCGAAATGGACAACGCCAACAAATACAGTCGAAGCTGCCCCGAACACCAAGGGGTGCTCTAGGAAGTAAGACGTTGATATCGGAAGAGTGTAGAGAAAATGTCCATCAGTGTGTGTGTGTGTGTGTGTGTTCAGAATCCGTCACCGCTAAACAGCTGATTGCATTAACTCCAATCATATTTGCAGTTTGCAATAAATCCTTATTAGGGCCATTGAATTGTATTTCTTCTGTGTCATTTAAATTTGCTAATCAACTTCACCTTATTTCCCGGAGCTTTTGGTCGCAAAGGTAAGTCAATACTTATTTATGCAATATTCGAAATAATAACTAGATATTACTGTTAATAATAATTCTAAATTCTAAATTGTTAGTTACATGGTTCAGAACTCATTTTAAAATATTCATATTAGATAGCCAGTTTTGTGCCTTGGACAAATCAATAAAGGTGCGGGGGTATTTGTTCCTAATTTCATTTTATGGAATGGGTATTCGCATTTAATTCATTTTCTATTTATTTCATGACCACATATTCTGACTTGGTGTTATCATAAGAACATGAGAGTGCTGAACGTTTTTTTATTTGTGTAATTACTTTTGCCACCTTCCATGTCATTGACTTTCGAATTTGGCTGAGGTTCCCGAAATATGGACACTTTTGATTGAGAAGGTTTATTTTTTTCAGATATTTCAAATGATAATTCAATTGTTTTATTTAGTTTCCTTTTTCTTCAATTTTATTTATCGACTGAAATTTAGCGGCTTTCAATAAACAAAATTACTTAAATCACATCTTCCACTTTCCTTACATTTTAAATACTTGAATCACTGGCTTTGAATACCCCAACTCACATGATTCGTAGCAAAAATTTATTTATCCATTTATTTCAAATGGCAGGCGTTTTGATTGTTATTATTAGCCCTTTGATTGACTTCGGGGCTTCACAGAGAGAAGGAGGAGCATCAAAGTGTGTTTCAAATATGTAAAAGAGGCAGATATAGAGGTAGAAAAAAGGTGAGGTGAGTGCTATTGAAGTAGACGAATATGACATACAGTGGTGTGATGGTGGTTTAAAGTCAAAAGTCAACTGCCGGTTAATGGACTTCTTGCCGTATGGGTATACGTTGCCCAGGGTGCACCACGAAGAGGTAAGTCTATCGCACACCCCTTGTTTGAGAAGGCCATAGATAGGGGTTGAAGTGCTTGATGATTTTGTTAAGTTATTTGTGTCATGTAATGACTGTTGCTTTGTGTTCAGCTTCAACGATTATTATGCCTACAATTGCTCGCACCCTTGAGGCGAAAGTCTGAATTATACTCAGATAAGATTAGTCCATTAATTAAACCTGTTGATTTATTAACGAAATTATTAAAAGGGTATGATTGGCCTGACTTGTAGACTGTTGTTTATTTCAAACGGATTCACACACCACTTTGACGTTATGACTATAGTAGATCTCATCGTGATTAAATTAATTACCATTCATCAATCGGTTATCAATTAGATTAATCCCATTCTTCTCAGATTGGACAAGGGAATCCCCTCCCTCCAATTACACTTCTACCAAACTTATTTCTATGAATTCAATAGAGATAGTACCATATTTGAGCTTAAATAATAGACACCTGCCCTTCCACACCGAGATTAATTGTCCTTGATCGCTCACTCGCTGTTAAACTAATTTTTGTGCCAACCGAATACCTATCAGGAGTCAAGGTGACGGTCATTTACTATTCTTTTTTTTACTTATTTCTTACGATTAGGTGTTCTTCTGCTTATGATATTAGTTGAATAAAATACCACCTTTTCCCAGAGCAAATAAAATGTCAAACAAAAGTTTGTCTCATATTGTAACACAAAACTGTATTCAGTATCTGACGCATCATCAGTGATAGCCAAAACCAAGATATTTGTCATAAGGTGGCTATTACATCATATATATATATATATATATATACAAATAATGCGACAGAATTTCTTGCATCCCCTCAGAATTGTAAGTAAAGGAAGGCCAGACAAGTGCGCATGAAACCCCTTCATAGTGGGATCTAAGTTATGGGAAAAGAATGGGAAGAAATGTAGACTGGTAATGAAGGGGAGATGGTTTCAGAGTTGGACATTGGTAAATGCAGTAACTGACTACCTAGAACCTATTTTCATCACATGTTATGAACGGGATGCATCCGCATTTGGGGTGAGGTAGAACGTGGAGAAACGTCATCTGGACTGGCAGAAGAAGCTGCTGTGTTAACAACGTTATTGCTACTTGTAACTACTGGATTCGATAGTGAAGGCAGGGGACCAATTTGGCATTTATTTACGTTTCGCACGTCGCATTGTGTCGGAGCTGTTGGTATGGAAGTCATTGAAAATTGAAGACCAAGTGGAGCAAATGGTGGAAATGCTTTTTGATGGAATGCAGCAGTACTGGTAGAATTACTCGAATAATTCTTTATACCAGAAGGATTATGCAGCATAGTGGGAGGATGAGCGTCATTTATAGCATCATTGATTGAACTGTTTTCACTAGCTCCAGAACTTGGCATTGTTAACATGGTAGGTGCCTCAAGAAGATCACCATAAATCCTATGGTGGTCATCACTACCGAGCCATTGCTTTCGACCCTCGCCTCGTCGGCTACGCATTAATTCCTTATACTCTGAAATTCGGAGTTTTCTGCCATCAACAATGCATGTACGCTTTGGTCTTGGACGATATCTGTAATCAGGATGGTCTTCCATGTGTTTTTTGCTCAGACGAGTTTGTTCTTCGTAGTAAGGCCTCTTTTGTTCCGCTGTCATTTGCTTCCATTTTTCACCCAGAATCTTCGATATGTTGCTGTTGTGCATATCTGGATGAGTCTACATTGAGAATGTATTGTTTATTATATGCTACTGGTAATTCAAAAAGTAGGTCGTATGTTCTAATTTATGCGAAATCGCTGAGTAATTACCTTCAGGATCTTGCGGCGTTCGTCACGAGCCCATACCATGAATGCATTCATCGGTCGTTTGATATGGGGCTTCTTAGGTGATTTCGCTTGAGTAGTGTCACTACAATCCTCTATGTGGGTTGTCTCACTTCCGCTATAGTCACTTCTTGAATAGCTCTAAGTTTAAATAAAAAGAATTATTAGGGTATATGTGGTTATATTTCAAAGCGTACAAATATCTATTATCGCAAAATTTTCATTTATATTAGTGCAATTATTCATACGAACAAATAATAACAAATGAGATCCTGGACAGTTCCTAAAATCCCATTCTATATTTATTAATGATGGGTAACTTAAAGTGATACAGCTGTCGTTTACAACCAAATTTGAATGAGCTACTTCCTGAAACAAGCTTAACGCTCAAAGACTGTTTAGTAAAAGCGATCAACAGCATCGGGTATTGAAAGAGCGATGAGTGTGCACTGACTAGAAACAAGCGAACAAGAGAAAATAAGATGGATGATAAAAACACAATAACTGAAAAGGATGCGTCTTCACATATTCCTTAAAGCGCGCACACCGGCGTCTGGGCCCAGAAGGGCAAAATTTCCAGAATTAGGGCAGCATCGAAGCAGACACATGTACACATTTGTCCATGTTGTTGTGAGTCATTGTTATAATCTGTGTTCATGCAACACACACACACACACTCACACATCGACAAAGCATTAGGAAACATTTCCCTTTAACTAATATTGTCAGTTCGTTTTTAAGTAAAGATAAAGAATATAGCAAAATTTACATTTCTTGATTGGTTGAAACCATCTTGCTGAAATGGCATTGAAAACCCATGAGTTTGAGGAGTCAGAGGGGAAAATTTTGGGGGAGAGAAGTGACCTCCCGAAGAGATTTGAGTAGATGTAGTTGGTATTACTTTGTCCTCGTTTCGAAATGATGAAAATATTGCAGGGATAAGATTTGCAATATTGGAAAATATCTGCTGGCTCCCCCCATTGGTGTCATCTAATTTCATGGAGGGAGGAAATAGAGTTGACGGAGCACTCAAAGGAAGTGGCAGATGAGGCGATTTATTTGGCTGTTCGGGAGCCTGTTCACTACGAAGTGGCAAAGTAGACGGGTTTGTTTGAGAAAGCCATCCGAGAAATGCATTACAGGCATCAAAATGCGAAAGCTGCTATAAATAGGAGTAAGCAATTTGTGATCAGTTTAAAAAATACACTTAATCTCTTAATCAAATTAAATGCAAAATTTATGTCGCCAATGATAATCACCGGTTCGGTTTCATTTCGTCATAAGCATAAATCGATTTATTATTACATCAAATCTCATCAACTTGATTTACTTGAAATTTTGTCATAGATCAAAATTTAAATTTAAAATTTCTACCTATCAATGATCAAATAGCCTACTGAAGACAACTGTAAGCTCAAAATAATACGACAGGAAACTTACTAATGTTTGACTTTTAGCAGGATCCGAATTGAGAGAAAATGGCATTTTCTCAGTTCCAGTGTCCTCAGGTTTGCAGGAAATATCATTATTTTCTGATGGATGAAGAGTTGGGTGTGTTTGAGGCTTTTCTGGTGAATGGTCGCTTTTGTCTTGTGTTAGATTCAAAGGTATATCCTCGTCTAGCTGTAAAGAAACGAAAAAGGCATTCGAATGACTAGCCATTACTAGGAGAACAAGTGAGCGAAATCAAATTTCACAAGGAAACTGCTTAAAAATGGCATGTGAAAAGGACATCATTGGAGGATGTTGACTAAGCAAAGGAGGTTTCATCTTAGTAACTGGAATGGCATGGAGATAAGAGAGTCACAAAGATTTAATCGCAACATTTCCACCAAGTAGTGGTTGTTTCCTCGGGTGAATGTAATGGGGCCATCGACGGGAAGCAGATGATGTGGGTGCTGGGCAAGCACTCACACGGACAAAACAATATAGGTACAATCGAATTACGAATGTGTGTGCACGAGTGTGCTAGCGTATACAAGAGGCCTGCTTCTAGTCCTCTACAGCATAAGCTGGAAAAGAAAGGCGGGGTAAAGAGGGGGAGAGAAAGTGGGAAAGAAGAAGAAGAGACATAGGTGACTAAGACCCGACCGATAATTTCGAACAATGCTCCAGTTTTTGGAATGTCGATGATGATGATGCACAGAATACCCACTGACTTCAAGCGACGGCATGGGAAGGCTTAAGATGCCATACACACAATAGAAAAGATGATGGGTCTAAGATCATCAATATACACTATTCGCCCCAAACAAAACAAATATTGTTAAATAATGTTTTTACATCATACTATCTTGGACAACATTAATGAGTCGAAGTTAGTTTACACCGAACAAAATGTTTTTCCAATTCTTGAATGTTTGATATGATGTCTGAAAGTTGAAATATCAAAATTCCATTAAAATAACTAAATCGAATGATTTGGTTAGCATAATTCAAATTGTTTTTAGTAGCCAGTTTTGGCACCAGTTTTCTCGAGTATGGAGCTTTGAAATAGTGGTTCAGTCGCCCTTAGCTTAGATTTTGTATTTAATAAATGCAGGACAATCATATATGGATTTATATTTATATTGAGGGGTGTGCGATAGACTTACCTCCACGTGGTGCACCCTGGGCAACGTATACTCATACGGCAAAAAAGTCTATTAACCGGCAATTGACTTCTGGCTTCTAACTACCACGACTCCCTCCCCTGGTTGTCATATTCGACACCTTCCACAGTATTCCCCTTACCTTTTTCTCTACCTTTGTGTCCGTCTATCTCTTTTACAACTGGGAATCGCTCTTTTGTTCTCCCCCCTGTGAAGCCCGAAGCCAGCTAAATGGCTAATGATATCTTTCAAAACGCCTGCCATTTGAAATAAATAAATAAATATTTATATTGACTAGTATAATGTATTTAGGCCAGTGTATTATAAAAGTGTTATGGTGTTTATCAGCTGATTGATCCAATATTCGCCATCCATTATGAAAACAAAGCGACATTTGTACTACCAAGACTACGCAGCTTCTATGGTAAAATTGGAAAATGCATAAAGATTCCAACATTTGCCAATGAAATTTCGTCCACGTCATGACTAACTGAGGTCACTGATTATAAAATTGATTCACTCACTATTTATTCGAAATTAAGTTCAAACTATTAATCACTATTATGGTAATCGATATAAGTTAGAACTTAACCATACATACTGTATGGTCCGTGTATTAAATGAGCCAATTTTACACTGCACTTGTAAAATAGAACTAGAGTCAACTTCGTCGGCCTCATCAATGTGAATCACTAACTTTGCATTACTAGCGGAAGACATTCGGAATCTTTGTTTCTCATTAAATGGCAAGGAAAGCTTATTGCATTTCAAAATATTCAAATTTTTAGCAAAATTCCTTGAAGATTACTCACCGATATAATCAATATTAAGCACTATAAATAGGATGTGAGAACAATATAATGTAAAAGTGTCAAAATAGGGATTGCAAAACGATCAAAACCACTCCAGGTTGAAAGAAATGAAGCATATGAAAGATTTAAATACTTTAAGCAGTAAATAGCAGCGTGAAAGTTAAGAAAGTTGACCTACTTTTGCCGCAACACCATTATTTTGAGTCGTTGGTGAGGTGCTGAATTGCCGTTGAACATCATTAATCTTATTTTTCATATCGTTAAGGAGAGTATACTTCTGGTCATTGTTGAGCCAGCTAGCAATGAGAATGGCATTAATGTATGTCATGAAAATGTTGAATGCACTCTCTGGGGAAGTCATTGAGGGAAGCTTTGCGAAGTCCTTCGGTAAAATGTTGTTCGCTTCTGAAACTTGAGAAGATTGGAATGCGGATGCAAACTCCATACTTCCGGTTGTTTCGTTTAGCGTAGAAAGTGGCGGAGGAATTGAACTCGGTTCTGGGGAAATATCGCGTGGTAGACCAATGAGTTTATTCGGTTGGCTTGGTTTCCGTTTTGACGACATAACCAACAGCGATGGAACATATCTGTATTTAAAGAAGAAAATATAAACATATAAGCAATTGTTTAGAGTAGACCACTTCAATTATGCAATCCAACGTGTAATCCTATTAGCCGGAAAATAACTTCGTTATTGCACCTAATTTTCTCAACTCACATTGAGTTATTAACTATATTTACTCACTTTGGAGGACGATAGAAAAGCTGAGGAAGTGCAGACAAAGATTTGGCCAAAGTTTGCGTGCAGTAAATAATTTCGGCAAAAAACTCACCACATAGGAAAAAATGAAAGGAAGTCTTATCTATGAAACAAATTTCCTACGAAAAAAATTGGAGGGGGGGAGTAGGTACTCTCCATGAAAGACCTTAATTCCTATGAAGGTTTTAGTGAGTCGGATGATCAAACGAAAATAGACGGGAATGGGAGTATAAACTAAGTGGCACTTTCGATTACTCCTAGAGAGTTGTTAAGACATGCGCTTACTCGGCATAAAGGACTCATTGTACGAGTAAGGGTGTATCCGTTATAGGCAAATCTTTTAACACTTCCATTCTCCACCCTTCAGTCTCACACGCTTCAATATCAATCTCAATCACCCACGGTGATAATCACAAGGTGAATGAGAATGGAAAAGGTGGGGGCAAGGGGACAGAAAGCGGAATACAATAGGGGTGTTGTGATTGCTCCCCACTCCTCCACCAGCTCCTGTATGCGTCCCATTTGTAGTCACTTATTTGCAGTCCACATCATCTCACGTCTCTAGATACTTCTCCCTCTCTCCAGCACTTAGCGAGTATCCACGCAGCTTTGTCGTAAAGAGGTGAAGACTTATTGAAATGAGAAAGGCATTTGCATGAATATTCGACTCTGTAAAGCAAGGATCTTTATTTGAGAACCTTGTTCTAAATCGATCTTTGATAAGCTATTGCAAACGCAATCTCATTTTGCCACGTCATAAGCGTTCAAGAATACATGTTCATCAGTTAATAATTTTAAAATGTAATGTCACCAACTGACCATGGTAAACACGAAAAGCTTTTGAAAGTACACACTGGATATGAGAGGCTGCACTTACATATGGGAATAAGAAAGGGAAATGTCCAAGGAACATGGGATTACAAAGTGTTCCTGCGATTTATATAGTGATTATAATTTTTTTGACCTTACCGAAGACCGTTACTGTCATTCGTCCAGTTATGTGCGTACGTATATTCAAAATTGTGCTGATGAGTACCTGATTGGCCAATTTTATAGAATGCGCGCATGCCCTGATCTTGAGGTGAACAAATGGCATATTTTTCCAAAAATGCCCTAAATCCCCTCGTTTGACTGCAGGGTTAGTGCGTATTAATGTGCAGTTACACAATGACCACCATTGTTTCCCATCGATACTTTACATAGCACACGGTGCCTATGTGTCCACAAAGGAAGACACATAAAGCATTGATTGTACGCCAAGACGTTGTTTGTCCAGAAATACCTCTTCCATCGTCATTCACCTTCATCACCTCACATCCCACGGTACTAGAATGCTATTTGTGCATGCATTTTGTTTGCTGCCGAGAGCGTATATCTAACCCTCCACTTGTCTGGTCGTCTGGTCCGTTATCTTGGCTATCTGTTTGTATGCTTTTTCCATTTATTTCTTTGCCGGCACTCAGGTCTTTGACCTTTCGTACGCCCGCTCCTCCACCTACTAAATACTTATTGAAAAGACAACACAATGGAAATTACTTCCCCAAAAAGAGCATTTTTGGGCTGTAGTCATTATATTGGAAGCAGTGATTAATCTCACAAAAGGAAATTAGTATGATTGAGCGAATTCAAGAACTCTGCCCCCAGAACTTCCATTACTAATAAAGTATGAACTATATTGCCTACTTGTGATTGCTAAGAGTTGAGCTCAACCGACAACAGCATTGACGTCATTCTACCCAATATCATTACCTGAATTTAGCAACAAATTGCGCTCAGTTGGTCAACGTATTATGCATAACATAGAATTATCAAACTTTTCAGTGCATTAATACTGCTAATTATAGTTGCTTTTACCTAGTTGTAAGCGAAAAGACCTCTGAAATGGTTGAGTTTGAAAACAAAAGAAAATTCTAGAGTACTAAGGGATGGAATACCAACATACGAAGCCAAGGGAAATTGTCGAGACTAAAGAAAAGTACAACGAAACCCAGAGAACAAAGCTTATATTAATCTTTTGCTGCTCTCACAGTTTCATTCCCACATTCACATGTTTTCGCCACATTGACAAATATAGAGTTTGTCTTAGAGCAGACAACGGCAAATAAGGAGAACTGTAAAGCCAGCTGAAGTGATCAGAATGCAGCAATTCTTATAAATATACGTTAGTGACATAATTAATTCGTCGAAAGGGAGATTGCAAGCATATGTTGGTAATTGTACACCTCTGAGAGGTATCTAATACTGAATCAGCTGACCACAATATGCAGTTGCTAGGTCTGTTAGATAATCGGCCTGGTGGAAATGGGAGACAGGCTCCCCGCTACGTTCTGTTCCTATGGGCGTAGACAGTGGATAACTTAGTTGAAGTCAGCATTGACGGGATGACCCCACCACCCAGCCAAACTAGTTAAAAAGACGGCACTGTCAGCTGTAAAATAGGGGGTGAAACAAATGCCATTAACGTATATACATACGCATACAACCATATATATCCAACTGTTTTATGCGCTTTCGGGTCAAACTTTACGATTCCTACGACTGTAGGAGGCAGTAACAAGGGAATACGTCTTTAGGCACTTTGTGATGCATTGAATTTGACCTGAAGATGCCCTGGTGTAGAGGTAATGAAAATGGGTAGAAAATATTAAAAAAAATAAAATATGAGACTCTAAAAGGAGAATAAATGGCTTGTTTAGGGAATTTATTTCAAATTCAAACAAAATAACGATAAAAAATCAGTGACTATTTACCATATCTTATTTCCCCGAAACTAAAGGAGTCGAATAGGTTAAAGGCAATTAGGGTTAGTATTCGGAATGTAGTTCTTTGTTAGTGCACTATCTAACCGTTAAATGCTTCATTTAATTCAAGTGAATTGGAAACTTACACATTTAGAAATTCAGTCAATTGAACAGTTAAAAAAATTAATTATTTATAAATATCAATATTAAAATTTTAGCATTGCAATAGAAATGGATTCCTTAAGTTAAATCTTTTAAATGGCAAAAATGCAGAGCAGTAATATTAAAATTGCGAAATTTCATGTAAAAATACCCGCACACATTATTTTTAAACAAAAATGATAGTTAATTTAGGTCCCTATTAAATTACTCACTAGTGTTAGTGATGGTGTGGTAGATCACAAAATACAACAATTTGGTGAGTGGCTTTAAATAAGCAAAATGGGAAAAAGTACAGAGTTTCTATTTACTGAAAGGGAAACAGAGTTAAGCAAACCGTTGAAACTACTATTACGTGGTCCAATTTATGTGAAAAAACAGGCATTTAGCATTTCGCTACTTGCTTGCAATGATATACTTTGAAAATGAAATTTTTTGATGATTAAAGGGAATGAGTTTTTTTATATTTGAAATATGAAGGCTAGATCATATCAGAAAGTCCTTATCAAAGATATTACGTGAATGGGAACACTAAAAAGAGAAGCGTTTGATTGCATTAGAGCCTTCATTTCTGGAAAACGAGATCGAAAGACATATAATGCGAAAGAGCAAATCTTAGATCACATTAAGCATGCCCACGTCCACCAACCTCAGACAAGATCTTTCAACTGAAATTTAAGCATTTCGATCATTGGTCAATTACGCATAATTTTCCACAACCTATTGTTCAACTATCCACGAGTTGTACCAGAGTAAAACATTGGTCGAAAGATCTTCAATTGATAAGGTATATATATCTTACTCTAATTCTTTTATTTTTTTGCTATAGGAGCTTTCAAAATAAGCGATGAATAACTTCTTTATGAATTCTTAGAAAATTAGAGCTTTAATCGTGTTTACTAAAAATAAAGTACTTAAAATAGTAGAGGACGAGAAAACTCTATGCTTCAAAGTAGTGATCAGTTTTGTATACATGTGATTTTCTCAATTCGAATGAAAATTTCGATTATTCTAATATAATATCATCGAAAGCCCACAAATTTGCTTTTAAAAAATTCGTTATGAAAATGAGGTTTGTTTGCAAATTTTTATCAGGTGAGCTTCCTGCCTTAGTGACCTTGACTAATTTACACGTGGAAATTTTAAAAAATATCAAATCGATTCCTGGGGTCAAGATTCGTTTTTGACGATTAAAAAGACTTCAGATTATTTTGATCAATTAAAAGAAAATAATTCTTTAAATCACCCAAGCTGAAAATTTGTGCTTTTAGAACCAAATCTTCATCAATTACAATATTGAAAGCACAATGAGTGTTTTTTTGAGACAATTCATATACATCAATTATAAAATCGAAAATAATACATGCATGACAAATATTTGTGCTTTAATTTTTCAGTATTAATTAGTTATCCAATACCCGAACTACTTGGGCATTTTGAATCTTCTCATTTGATCGTCTAGGCGAATGGCAAAAGGGAGTTATATAAAATATGCTTAATATTTAAACTAGCACTAAGTTGCCTGAAAAAATTATGCTTAAGGTTAATAGAAGGCATATTGTACACCAACCTTCACCCCATCTGTCCCAAAAATAATCATGAACCCTCTCATTTTAAATGCGTCATTCAAGCGAATAATCGAATACCGGATCACACAGCATTGAATTTTTATGTGCCGTCTGTGCGCAATTTGAACAAAATGAGATTCACTGTTGAGGTCAAGTTTTATTACCTTCCACTATACCGGACGCCTTGTGCGTTACACACGTGGTCTTCTAACCTCCATAATCCCACCCTCGAAATCCCCTTCAATCCACTCTCCTAATCCATATGGTATAGAGGTACCATAAAGACGCTCCCCCATCTTTGTTCCCCCGGATTTCAAAAGGGATCAGTGAAGTTAAT